TTGGTTTGGCCTTGGAGGTTGGTCGTACAGGTACATGGGCCATGAACTTGGGGGTTGGCTGCATGAATATCGGAACCTCTGATTGCGCAGCAGCTTCCCCAGTGGGCGGAAGAGGTTCTGGTTCTGGATCATCTGGCCTGCAAACTCACAAGTATATACATGACTGTGAGGATTTTACATGTTCAACATGCATGAATGCCTGTCACGCAGTTGCAATTGGAAGGTCATGCGTGATCCACTGAGTGATTCCTGCAAACACTCCGGATGATATCATGAGTGAAACAAGCTACATAATCATCTATGTATGTCCTGTGCTGGTATAGCCCTTGCCAACTCATGCATGACAGAGGCCAGGTTTGGGTCCTGCATTCGAGGTCCAGAAAAAAAGTACAAACACTCTCAAACACTCCTCGAAGATGATCGCTATTGTAGACTCGCTCACCTGGTGCTTCTCACAACCACAATTGTCCGTTTGATCTTCAAGTCTCACCAAGCCCCATGCACCCAACATTCGTAGAACTGACTCCCAGTTGTGAGGATCCTCCTGATTGGTCAAGCTTTAGCATACGAAGAAGAGTTTCTGCAAATCCTGAGGCAGCCACAGCAGAGCCCATGATTGCAGGTGCTAGTCTTGCCCGAATAAAGGTCTCCTGCAGGCAGCAAGAACTCAACTGCACATTCACATTCCAAGCAGACATGTTTCCTCTCCTCATCCGTTTGCCCCAAGCGTTTGTCCATGTTTGCTACCAAAACGGCTACAGCAGCTTAAGTCCATGCATGCATGAATGCGCTCAGTCAGAACTGTTATGCATGCAAAAGTTTGCGCACAGCGTCCACAAAACAACATATAAAGGTTTGGAGGTAAGGTTTGCAACAACTAACCATGGAGCCCGCAAGGTACCTCCTGATACAAACAAAGACATGCATGGACGTTTCCAAGAATAAAACCATTCCATCTATCATTGCATATCTTTTGAGCATCAGCTTCAATCACAGCCTCATGAAAGGCATGCATGTTCTCACGCATGCCAAATTTGTAACCTAGATGATCATGGCACAGTGCCACATTGTCACATGCATGTGCATGTGTTCACCCAAGCAACATTTAAAGTTGCACCCCCAAATCACGGCTGGTTCAGATCGTCGTCACCTTCGAAGCAGCCTAAAAGAACAACAAGAGGTCATGCAAGCTGTTTAGGGAGGTGAAAGCAGCATAGTCAACACACATGAAAAATTGCACCCTGTTCAAACAAGTAACTTGTCTTCCACGTTTTTTTGCCTCTTCATCCGGCAATCCAGCAGCCAGTGCCTCCTTCCTAGCCTTTACATATGCACATGACTTCTTAGAGTTGAGTTTTTTTCTGTTCATCACTTCTTGTTGTGTGCTTTGCTTCTGGTTTTGCTCTGCTTCCGCTGCTTCGAGGGTTTGACTTGGCTGCCTGCTTTGCCTTCGCCTTTGCCTTCGCCTTTGCCTTTGCCTTTGCTCGCGCACGTGGTGATGACTTAGGTTTGGCTTTCGCTGCTGCGGCTCTGCCTTTTGCCTTTGCTTTTGCTGTTGCTTTTGCTTTTGCTCCAGGCTTACGTCCACGTTTCTTTTGCTCCGGTGCACCCATCGCACTACCTTTGGAAATCCATTCCCCGCAGTCCGAAGGGGCTTCTCCAACCTGCAGTGACGCATGAAAACCAACTAGAGCTCTCTATATACTGCGTGTACATGTGACTGTCAAAGTGAGTAGCTGGCAGTTATGAAGGCAGGGCACAGCATCTCGAAGTTTGTGCACCAACACCGACTTCCCAAGCTTCTGCTCGTCTTTCGCATCTTCCTCAATCACCTGATCATCTTCCTGATGAGACCCCTCACTCTCCTCACTCTCATCATCAGGTTCAACTTCCGTCATCACAACATCACTTGGAGAAATCCCAAGCTGGTTGTCAGGAGACACCGGAGCCTCAGATTCAATCTCAACCACTTCAGCAGGTCCAGGCATACCAGGTACAAGCTCAGCAGGAGCAGGAGCAGGAGTCACAACCGCACCAGCCACCACAGCTGCTGACACATCAGCAGGAGCTTCCATCACAAGAGCAGCAGGAGTTGCTATCACAACAACACTTGTTTTCACAGGCGTTGCATCCACGGGCACTTGCAAACCCCCAGTAGCCACAGAAGACGATGGCAGAGGTTCTTTTGCAACAAACTCACCAGCTACAGTCTCCAAACATACTGACATCTCTGGCTGCTGGGTCTCCACAGTATCTATGCCTAAGCATCGCACACCACCACAAGCACAACTATTGATTGGCATGCTGGAGGTTGCAAAGTATAACGTGTCATGAGGGCAGCACACACACAAGGCGGCAAAGGCTGAAATGGCATTGATGGTTTCTGTGGCTGTTGCGACTGCTGCAGCAAAAGCAACAGTTCCAATTCTTCCATCTCCAGCAACAAAAGTTGCTTGCCTGACACCAAGGAACCCAGTGCAGTGCAGAGTTTGCAAAATAGAGTTTGCAACATGCATGTTACAAAGTTACAAGTGGTTCAACTACTAGCTACACTTGGCTGCATGGGAATCAGCCGCCAAATCTTCTGATCCTGGAAGAAGCTGACAAATGGGATTTCTTTAACGAAAGACATGTTGGATCAAAATTTGTCGCATCTCCTTCTGGACTTGCAGCTGGAACTGTGCCTTTGTGTGGCATGCATGCATGCAACATTTCAGAAGACATAGATCTATGATTGTTGACAAGTAGAATAGCACTCCACATGCATGCAAGTTGCTACCCTTCGCAGGGCTGGCTTGAGAACGGAACACGGCACTATTCAACTCAGGCTTCCTCACCAATTTGGGAGTCAATTCCGTAGTCGTCCCACTTTCCACTGCTAACACAGCAGTATCCACAGGGGTTGCCACCAAAGAAGAGGCTGCTGCTAAAGTATTATCCACAGGGGTTGCCACCAAAGAAGAGGATGCTAGCACAGCAGTATCCACAGGGGTTGCCACCAAAGAAGAGGCACCAAGACAAACCTCCCCATTCTGCGCAGTCTCTGCAGGGACTGGTGGCTCACTCTTCTTTGCCCTGTTAGTCGCTGCAGATGAAGTCGCCAAGGTGGCATCATCATCTTCTTCCTAATACATAAGCACCAAAACTCTGCATGCATGGATTCTGCAATGTTTTGCGCAATCATTGATTGGTTATGATGTGTTGGCGAGTTTCTGAATGCATGAGCCAAGGAACACTGTCAGAAACACTAGACGATCCACTCTCACTCTCATCACTTGCATCTTCTTTGGGGCCTAGTGCATAAACAACTTAGTGACAGAATGTGACACATTCCTGCTATGCAAACAACTTCATGCCCCTTTTTGCGCCTGGCAGTGGAAGTCCAGCAATTTCATATATTTTTCTGACTTCAGGATTGCGAGGACGATGAGGTCGCCTGAAACATATGAAGACAGAACTGCTTGAACTAACCCCTCGATCATGAAGAATTGTGAACTCTGAAGCCATGACCTGGCCACTCGAGCAAAAGCATACACCAATCGCATGGCCAGCTTCGCGTGAGCTTTGGTCCGGATACCTTGGAAGCGCTCTGAAGGGCAAGCTTTTAAGAGCAATTGAGGGCATGCATGATTAGAGCTGGTCTGCTTTCCAACTCCACTTCACAAAGCACATAAAGCACTATACCTATTCATCACACCCAGATGCTACAAAAGGCTTTGCCCCTTGGGAGGGCCAAGCTAAAGAACTGATGAGCAGCTTGCTCAAACATTGCAAGGCAAGGCCTGACACCGCAGTGTTTCACTGCCAATCCAATGGCGACATTGTTGTTCTTCAAGTCACCTCGGAGGTTTCAATGCAATACAACCAGCAACAACAACATGGTAAAACTGCTTCACAAAGATTCTAAGAAATCTACCCCTTTTCAGCTTCTTGCTGTTGGACACTTCCATGATGGAATGATGCAAAGCCCTTTGTTTGACTTCGGCATTATTTGCCCAAGCCGTGGCCAGTAAGGCGGCCTGTTCAAAGTGTGCCATTTTTTTTGAGCCAGCCAACTCTGCACTATGAATCATATGCATGATTGTGCATGAAGGGATGACATCCATGCATGCAAGCTGTCGTGCACAAATTTAAAGCATGCATGGACACACGCAACTTCAAGGTGGAAGGGGCACTTTGCAGACAGTCAAGCCTGCGCGCATCAATCAGCACATTGACATATATACCGATCCAACTGGAGCCTTCGAGTAAAAGATCTGACAAAATGCCAGCTTCGCGGTATCAGGCTTCACCACACCCCAACTGACTCCTGTCAAGAAACCAACTTTTTTAACAAAACCATCACCAAGAGATGAGTGTCCTCCTTCCCCGGCAGGCATTGCAGCTCGTGCAGGAGTCAACGTGGCCACAAGCCAACAAAATTGCTGCAAGATGCGAGCGAAACTACCCAGACTGGTGCAATCCAAGCAAACCAGTGCAAACATGCACCATCATGGACCATCATGGACTTCAAAAAAAAAGTGCTCGAAAAACTGGCCTTCTCAAAAATGCGCTCGATTTATAAAAATATGTACCATAATCTCATTCGCACACATTTATCTGTACCAAAAGAAGGTGTAGGAACGTCGTTCCTACCCAGACGCTCATGGACCCTCCTAAGTAGGGGCCGTACCCTCATGTTGTCGGATTTTCTGATGACATATCCCTTCGTGTTTCCACATGTGACCTCGGAATCAGGAACTGTTGTTTTCAAACTATGGTTTTTTACACGCCGTTCCCAAACAGCTGGAGAACTCTACCACCAACGTTGGAATTCTGGAATTCCAAAAGTTGATACCAAAAGATAAAGCCAAAAGAACATGCTGAAACTGTTTGGGGTATGAAGGCACACTTGATAGGAACAGGCCCATGAGACCACATTTTGGAGAGTTGATCCTCCAAAAGACTCAGCTTCGAGGTATCTACTGACCCTGACCTCCACCCTTGGTGTTTCTTTCCAGGAGAAGACAGTGACTCTGAGGCAGAGCCCGGCATGGCCCTTCACGTCGGACCGGGGTGGCGGGCCATAGGCAAAGAGACATATGGTTGATTGAGCTGGCCTACAGCATGCTCAGCATGCTATATGCATAATCCCGAGTACCTATCAAAAAAGCCTCCCCATAATCCCGGTTTTCTTATTAGGGGGGGGGGCCCTCATGTTTTTTTAATAGGTGGATGGGATTACGTAAGTTGCACCAGCTGAATGTGTACCGTCATGCCGCTGGGAAGGAAGTGCTTCGACACCACTCGAGTATCACTGGGTGTCGCGGTTCCCTGCTGTGATGCTCTGGAGGTGGAGCGGGCCTGCCGTCAAGAGCGGTGCTTGGCCGAGATGCGGCGCGCCGTGGAAAAGGCGGGGCGGCCCGAGCGGAGGTGGTGGGGCATTCGACTGCAGCATGACTCTTTCCGGTGCTGAAGCATTCTTACGAAATCATGTACAAAATGATACAACCTGATGCAATAACGGATCTATAATAAGTAACTCAGGATTGCCAAGGCAAAAGGAAAAAAATGGATGGAACAAAACATTGGTTCACCGAGTTTACTGTGATTTGTGGTGTGTTGGTCGGACTATCGTTTGAATGGCTTCACCTCTCGTGGCTATATGGAGATGCTTCTGGTAGAAACTCGAAACCTTGCAACAGAGCTCTTCCAGGCCCATTGGCCTTGGGGTACCAGTCTTGGGCCCGGGCACTGTTGCGTCTGCCATGGGAGACCGGTTTTAGTCATTCACCACCATTTCGACGAGGCCATCGCTCCGCGGGGGTCTCTGACATCCTGTGAGACGTTGTGGCATGTTTCTCCTAGCGACGGCAGCGAGAAAAACGCCGCCGCACAGCGGTGGGCCGCCTCACCAGGGCCGCGTGCACACGCCTTCGAGCCACGACGCAGACCTGTGTGGAGCCTCGAAGGGATTCGATGGTCGTGGGGGGTACGTACCTCGTCTTCGGGTGTTTGCCGGAGTACTGAGTACCAGATATACCATGAGTATGCCCTAATTAGGGGAGTTGAGGGGGGTGAAATGTCAGGGGGCCCGAATCACCGAACATGCTTGGAGAAGGCCACAAAACACAAACCCATGAGGCTTGGCATGTCGAAAGCCTTTTTCCACCGAAAGAAAACTGATCCAAATACCTTCTCAGACGTAGGTGCCAGGAGGGTCCAGTCGTACCGAACCTGAGAAGGTACCACAAGTCCAGTCCGACCCAGTAAAGCCATATAAACCCTGCTCTGTGACGCCCTCTCCAGTCTTGTTGTACGACCATGTCCAGTATTTCATGACGTCAAACTGACTTAAGTAGAGTACTTGGATCATTTGGATCCCTTTCAGGGAGGGGTCCAAACGCCCGCCCCGTTCCGCCGGGCATTTCACCGCCCTTCCGTTCAAAAACCGATGTCAGGCGATCAGTGCGAGCGGCTGCACTCGTGGGGAGACGAAGGGGGAGGATGGGCTTTGGTTCAGGGTCACAGCCAACTCCGCCCGTGACGCAGGGCGCCCTGACCATCCAAACCACTGCACCACCCTTGTTGCAGATGAAAAGGAAGTGTTTGGTACCCCCAAGGACCCGTACCTATCTCTATATTATGTGTTTATAGTGTGTTTTAGTGTGTGTGTGTGTGTGTGTTATGTGTTTGTTATACGTCAATATATGTACATATAGTTATACATATATATATATACCAGCAATTACCAGCACCTTCCTTACGGGGTCTCCAAAGGATTTGATGTCTATTGAACACCCATTTGAAGGTGAGATTTATAGATCAGATAAACAGATTAGTTAATAGACTAGATTAGATTAGATTGATTGATTGATACACGGAGATGGAGATATGTAGGTGCGTGTGTAGATATGTATATAATATATATATATATATGTGTGTGTGTCTTACAGTAAAGGTATATGTTTCACTTGCAAAAGCGACCACGTGTTCGGCCGAAAAAGAACCCGTCGCCTGTTCAGAGCCCCCCCCTAAACCCGCCCAGGCTCCCAGCTTGTCCTTTGATTGGGCAGAGGCGGACAGCAAGGAGCGCCATTAGCGGATGCCTGAAGGATGCGTTTCTCAAGGTTCAAAGTGAACAAAAGCCCCAAACGGTGCACGGAAACCCTACCGGTCACGCGTGAGCAAAGTGGCTCCCAACGATCGAGGCTCCAGTGGCTCCATCAAGTCCACATCGTCCGTTTGCGCTGTTGGGACCCTCTTTTGTTTTCAATGCTGCGTTGTTTCTGACGTGAAAGCGTTTTCGATTGTCGCATCGAAGCTATCGAGCATCGTGGGTCCGATCCACCTGAAATCGGCGGTGGAGAAACACCAGATGGCACCACCATGATTCACTCCAGAGGGCACCACCCTCGCATCTTTCCAGCAGGAAGGCAGCGAATGTGTCCTGGAGGCGTGGAGACAATCGTGGTTTACAGCTGCGCGGCGTCTGCGCGTCCAGTGACTGCGGAAAGTGACTGCACTTGGGGACTTGGTAGGGATCTGGGTGTGTGGTTGGGAGACCCCTTTGTTCGACCTCAAACATCACAATCAGGCGAAATCCATTGGTTGGGAAGGCCCGATATTCAAGTGCAAACCCCATTTGGGGGAATCCCTTGCAGTTACACCCGGTTCAAGCTTTTTCAAGGTTTCAGTCACTTGACTTGGAGCGGAGTTTGGCCTTCTTCGCAGCCATTTGGCTGTAGTCGTCCCAGCTGTCTTCCATCATGGGCTGCGGTGCGAGCATTCCAGGGCCCTCCAGGACTAGAGGCAAGAGCTCGCCAACCTTTGATCCGGTTCAGTTTGATCCTATCGTTCAGTTTGATCTGGAGCAAATCGCCGACAGTTCCCTTGACTCAGCTTGACAGCACCGTGTTTTTGTCACCCCATGTGTTGCTTTCTGTGACATAGTAGCTTCTTGCTATTTCTTGCTACTAGTAGCCATGGCCTCCAACCTACTTGCGATGGCCTCCACCTAATAGCGTCCTTGCTACTAGTAGCTTCTTGTTACTATGTTTCTCAAGTTTGAGATGTCCCGTGACAAAGTAAGGCCCAATCCCAAGCATCAGAGATCGTGATCTTCATGCGCCATCTGCAGCTTTCCCCTCAAGAGTGCCTCCACTGAAATCGTTCGTTTGAAGGTCAGCACTTGCGTAAGGCTGCTTGAGAGGTTTCCAAAGTTGGGTTTGAAATGTTGGAGGCACAAGCTGGAAAAGACATTATCACGCTTGGTACATCAACGCACCTTTTTCCAATCCCCAACTGCTTTGCAAGCGGAGGAGAGAGGCAAAATAACAGCTTGAATCACCATGAATCACCATGTTGTATTTGATGCCTGAACTGCCAAAGCAGAAACGTCCCCTTTACCGGACGAAGTAGCACAGGCTGCCAGGCAAGCGTGTTCTTTGCCACTGTACAGCAACAAACCACTTGTCGAACCAACTTACTTTCGATCGGAGGCAAAAGCCAAAAATATAGCCCGAAAATGCTGATATATGCTTGAATCATATGCTGTTTCATGAATGAACCTGCCAAAGCCCGAACATCCTTTTACAGGACCGTACGTGTCTGGCTTGTTTTTTCATTCGAAGGCAACATCATTCTACTTTACTGAGGACTGGCTTCTGACACATTCATCTTCATGGTAGATTTCTCCTGCAGTTCTGTATCACGGAGCATTTTGTAGAAGCTACCGAAGCGTGCCTCCCATTCATCTGCGTTGTAGGTAAGGATCTGAGGCAAAGGATACTTCACGAATGCTTCCGCTAGCTTTCTCACCCAACCTTCAATAGAGTTTGGTAGCACAATGTAGCACAGCTTGCCCTGATTAGGGATTCTTGTATATAGTTCGATAGAACCAACTCAAATAGAAATGCCTGCCGGCCCTGGGTTGCAAGTTCCCTGGGTTTGCATTATACTGCAACATCGTTGCAGCGGTAGCTCTCCCACTTTCTCCCAGCATGGCATGCTTAAGCTTGATTAGCTGGACCAGAAATACATGTTTCTCAGATTTGCTCACAGAATTTCCTATCGCTGCAGCTGTGTTGAAAGGCACGCACCTTCGTTGCCGGAAAGTGGTGAAAAGCTTGATCCGAAGTGTTGTTCAAGTTCCGTATGTAAGACGTCGTGAAACGCAAAAGAATGACACCGTCAGGCTTGCAATCAGAGCAATGTCCGTGAAAACCAAACGGTGGTCGGTGACGCAGCCTCTTTGGGCTGCAGAGTCAAAGGGATAAAACAACAGTAGTATCCCAAGTCTCCGGTCATGGGCGGTGCCGCGAGCATTCCAAAGTCTTCGACTATGAAAACTGAAGGGTCATTGTACCTCTGCACAGTCACTCTTGACCGAATCGCTGACAGTTTCCTGCCTAGAAAGCCTAGAAAGCTTAGGCATGTTCTTTTTTTCCATGGCTTGGGCTGACCCCTGTTTTGATAGGAGAAGACCATGTGTTTTGTGTCTTTGGTCTGAGTCTAAAATATGGGGTCACCCTGGGTCTAGGTATGTATATATATATATGATATATCTATAGATCGCATGCAGTTTGCGCACGAAACCAAAACCAAATGTTTCCAAGACGTTGTCTCAGACCTTGTCGCCTTGTCGCCTTGGACGAACGTCCTTCGCTCGCTTGACCGCCCAGCCTTGGTGTGCAAGAAACGCCTTCGTCTCCAGCAGTGAGGTACCAAGGTACGTGGAAATCCGAGGTACGTGGTGTTAAACGGGTTCACGCGAGTTCACCACGATTTATTTATATATATATATATCCCAAAGACGCCGGACGGGCATATTGACCGATCAGGCTAGTGGTTTGAGGGTCAATGTATAGGCATATATTCCGGTCCCATGGAGTGTTTGGGGTATATAATGATGTGTAATATATATTATGTTATATTATATATATATATATACCAGCACCTTCATGTCGGGGTCACCAATGGAAGCCCCTACACTACCATCCGGGATCTCCAGACAGGACACCCCGACATGAAGGTCCACTATTCTCCCAGAATCCCAACCATCAAGCTTGTGTCAACCTAGGCCCTGTCCCAAAGATGGGCGATGGTGTGGAAGAGGTCTATTACTTGCCAGGCTTTCCTCCAAGAGTGCCTTGGTTGAATCCACAAGACATAAGCTTCAACGACCAAGCTTCTATGCCTTGAAGCTTTAGCATATGCACAGCACGAAAAAATATCCAAGGTTTTGGCACTAGATGCAGACGAATGGGAGGCACAGTTTGGTAGCATTTGCCGCGCGCTGGACACCATAGACCTGCCAAGAGCAAAGATGACCGAAGGCCGAGGCCACATCGGCTGAGGCCACATCGGCTCGTCGCAGGACCATCTCCGGGATAGACCACCAGCTGAGCTCTCCTTCACTGGAGAGATCTCGACTGGATCCGAGCACAGACTCTGTTCCGGTGTGGAAGGAATCAATTCTTGTTGTTTTGAAGCGTTTTCAGCCTCGCCGAGCCAATTTCGCGACGTCGTCCCGCAACCCGGGGGATGTCAGGGCTCAGAGAGAGAAGGGATGGAGTCCTAGCCGGAAGGCCACATGGAGGGATTGTGCAAAGATGCTTTGATCTTTTTGGAATTGCCATGACAATCCCATGTTTTTGCAGCCGTCACAATCCTACTTGATCCTTGATCCTTGTGTTTGTTTAGTCAGATTGCGGTTTTGACGAGGAAGAATCGGCTCGTCCAAAATCCGCAATCGCGCACTGCTGATTGGCTGCCATTGCTAATCAGCCAAAATTAACTCTCTCGACCAATCTCAAGTGTTTGGAAGGTTCAAATGTCCCCAAGCAATTTGCAAGATTGGATGGATGATGAGTTGCTGCTAAGCCTTCAACTCCATCCTGAAAGGAGTTGGTTGCCAGACCCGGCTTTTGCACATTCCACACGTGTTTGGCGAACGTGGTTTTCAACTGTAGTATTGCCGCGGATGACAAAGGTTGTTGCTTCGAAGATGTAAAATCGCTGGCCTCTGCCATAGAACGACAGAAGAGCGCAATCCAAACAACATTAGGAATCAGGATACGCTTGGAAAACCTCAGCAAAAGTCATGCTTAGCTTGTCGTATGCAGCCATTTTGGGCCTCCACTTTCAAAGTCTTGTCGCCATGGGCTGTGCTGCAAGTGTTCAAAGGCCCATGACCAGAGCCGAACTTCCACACGGATCTGATCCGCAGTTCGATCCCATCGTTCAGTTTGACCTCAACCAAATCGCTGACTGTTCCCTTGGCTTAAGTTGGACACAAACGGCACAAGCTACCGTGTTTTTGTGAAGTGCAGGTCTATGTTCAGAAGAGGTCCCTTGCTCACCAAGTAAGGCCCAATCCCAAGGATGAGTGATGGTGAAACCGGCGGCAAATCTGGAGGTTTCCCCTCAAGAGTACCTCGGCTTGACGACAAGCTTCGAATGACAATTTAGAGCACGTTTGGGGCATGTGGCATGAGAAAGCCCTCTCATGCACACTTTAATTGAGAGGAAAATAAGATGGAAAAAGAGTGAATAAGAGAAACAGGATCAGGATAAAAAAAAAGGCGTCGTCAAGCACTTCTGAAACGCCCCACTATGCACAGTTGCAAAAAATGCAGGTTCTCGCGTATGATGCCGACGAATGGGAGGCACGCTTCGGCAAAAGACTCCGCGGGAGGATGTTAGCCAACTTCGAGGCGAATGACAGCTCGGATGTGGTGATTGGAGCGCAGAAAAAAAACGCCACTCATCACCCCGACATCCGATGCAACTAAATAATTGTGTTTGCTGTCGTTCATGGCCGTTGATTTTTGGCGATGAGTTTCTGGAGCGTCCAATATCGACATGTGCCTTTTTCCGCTTCGATGCTCAAGTATCGGCAGAGGGTGGAACCGGTCGGCTGTGCATTGCCGATCGTTTTATGAAGGCCATTGTCGTGATATAATTCATTCCAAGATCTGCTGGCTGTTTGGGTTCTTTTACCAACTACCAGGCAGGTTGGATGCAAGGCAAGACAATCAGACAAGCACTGCCTTGCCTATCTTGCCTGACCTTATATAGGGTTTGCATGAAGCATCATGCAGCAAGCCTTTTGGTCTTTGCATTTTTGTCCAGTTTTGGTATCTTTGGCTGTAAAGGCTGAGCCTTTATCCACAGCACTGAAGTCGGTTGCCAGATCCGGCTGAAATCACCTCGCCGTTTGCGCCAGCCGGGGGGTGATTCAAGAATACTCAAACCAGACAGTGAGATCCCCGAAAGAACGTCGCTTGCCTAGCAGTTTGTCGATGTTTGTCGCAGGTCGTAGGGTCACTAAGCACAGGTGTTTTTTCAACGAATGTTCACATGCAGGAAGGTGATGTTCTTTCCCAGTCAACCAGAAGCCTCGAGGGACCCGAGGTTGATCTCTTTTTCCCACGCAAGTTTCTGAATGATCCATGATGATCCATATGTGTAAAAAAGTGCATGTTTGCTAGATGGTTTGCCAAAACCCAGAGCAACCCTTTCTGATCCGACCTTTGGTGAAAGCCGGAGGTTCTCCTTCCCCTTTCGCCAGGTCTTACCGCCGGAAAACCGCTGCCCGCGCCAGCTTCTGAAGGCCAGCGTGTGTGGGTCAAAGGGCCGTCATTTTGGGTCTCACTCCGGGGTCGCCAGGAACAGCTGGAAGGACAACGGCGCAAAGAGTTGGCCAAGGCACGATCGACCGTGGCCCGAGCCAATGTGGGCCCGCGGGTGCCACCGGCACTGATCGTAGCCAAACGGAAGCGGGAACCGAAACGGGAGGGGCAGAAATGGAAATTGATCTAGGTGGACACTCCCGTCCAAAACCGTTGTCGACGAAAAAGCTGGGGGGCGCATTTTCAGGGAGTGATGACTGAACTCATGCATTCTCCGCCGAAGAAAAAGGGGATCCCTGCTTGGCGGTGTTTTTCCATATGTTTCCGTGTTTTTGGTATATAGTACTCTGGGATTCCTTCGCGCCATTGTTTTAGTTTTCATGGTCTTTACCAAACAAGCACGTGTTTGAGGATTTTAGACTACACCAGGTCAACCAAAATAGTTTGAAATGGGTCCACACATGTCTTCACTGGCAAACGGGAGTTCAATTCTCGACCGATCCGCACCGATGAAGGCGGGACTGCGACCGATGCTGTCGTACGGGAAGTATGTTGGGCCGATGAAGAGTGTATGAACATGTGTTAGGATCATGTACAAACATGTCTCCACACACACCACCCAAAGAAACACATCAACAATACTACACAGAATACTCCAATAAAAGCAAACAAAACGGTGGTTTGGAGGGTCCCTGACATCACAGCTGCAGGCATCTCGACACCACATGTGATGGGCGCCGTGTACATGTCCGCCGGCATAGAACAGCGCATGTGTTGACAGTTTCCCCAAAAAAACGTGCTAGGTATACCACTGCCATCCGCTGCCCGTGATCGGTTCTATCCTTTTCTGCAAGATAATGACCTCAAGTTGCCACAACAACAGGAAGTGTTTCCTTTTCTTTGGCCATTGGCCATTGCTGAGATCAGCGAATTGTGCTGTTTGGTACATGGTGAGGATGCTACTAGTAACAAGATAGTAACAAGTGCATTTTTACGAACGTAGCTAGAAGCTACGAACGTAGCTCCTGGCATTACTACTAGCTACTAGAAACAAGGGTCAGCCCAAAGAGGTGCCACGTGATGCCACGTGCCACGGCAGGGCTTTTCAATCGACCCACCACCAAGAGGACGACAGGGCAAAGTTGCCCATGGCGAGTAGGTCGGAGGCTATTGCACTTGTGAACAGGAGTAGCAAGCGACTTGAAGCTACTGCTATAGGAATTATTTGGGTGCCAGGGTCAAATAAGTTTTGAGCGAAAGTTTTGGGCGAAAGTTTTGTGTTTTGCCTTCGAGCTTTCAAGCAAAGGGAAAACAGGGAAACTAAGGGCGGAAAGCAATCCCACAGTTAGGGGAGCAAGCAGAACAATGAAGATAATAATTCCTATTTATCATTGCGCTTGAGGGTTTAGGGAATGCCACGGGTGTGTGCAGTTTTCGAGGGAGGTGACGCAGATGGCACGCAGCGCCACTGGAATGCCGGCATCGTCTGTCGATTTGGCTAGTAGGACATTAGGGCTTCAATACCAACAACACACACAACAACGCAAGCCACGCAACAACAACAAACCTAGAAGCTGAAAAGGTGTCTCAAAAAGGTATCCAAGGCAATGCCTTCGATGTAGACCACCCATGTTTCATAATGTGTCCAGATTTATCCGGTTAATTAGAGTAAGTAAAGCTGGCAACTCACTTTGAGGCCACCCCAATTTCTTTCAAGCCCAGACTGCAGGAGCAAGCGGTTCGATGCCCGGTGAGAGCGTCCCGTGGGGATGCCAAAACTCGGGTGGATTCCTTGGTTGACGCCAGGAGGAAGGCAGTCCGGAGTCTGGGTTTGAAAAATGGCCTGTCAGCTCTTTTTTTCTAAGATAGAACCCCAACAGTAAACTGTTTGGGAAACCACCAACCGGTGTGAGTTTCGAATCCGATTCACTGTGAATTCCCTTTTTGGAGAAAGGTCTCTGGGGACAAGATTCAGAGGGTCTTCCCATGGTCATCGATGCACCAACGTGTTTGTTCAAAAAAGATAGTCTTTTCGCCGGGGTCAAATTTTGCCACCGAACTCCAGTCCTGACAATGTGAAAAAAAATCAAAGACAATGCCAATCAACACCTCTCTATAGAGGTCAGAAACTGACTTCAGTTTACTGGAGTTCGTCATGCAAAAACACTCCTCAAGGACGTTTCCAGGACCAGGATTGGATCTGCGTCAAACAGTGCCTGGGGAACATTCGCGTCGCCAGGTCTCACGAAGTCCAGCCAGAGGCGACAGAGGCAGAGCAGGCAGAGCAGGCAGAGGCGACATGCCAGGCCAGACCTGACGATCAGGGTGCTCGTCTAAGGTGGACAAGTACGTCAGCGCGTAAGCATCTCTGATCTTCAGGCACCAAAGAGGAAACGTTTGCGGCGGCTCTTAGAGGAGGCTTTGGGGAAAGGGGCGGACGCGACATTCGCGATGTTCGGAGCGACAGACCCTGGCCAAGTTTCTTAGAAGGTTTTCCAAATCCCTTGCAGATCCTTGTGGTTTTTGGGTTTGCGCAACACGTTGCTTTGCGTGCTTCAGGACGAAAGGGATTGTACAATTGAACAAGCAAAAAATCGTGAAACGATGCTTTTGACACGGCTTGCCACGCTTGCTTGGATTGTTTTGCTGTGAATCTTCTATGATAAATATTTGTAAGTTATCTTCTATAATAGTGGTTTGGAATTTACAATATATATATATATATATGTGTGTGGCGATGATACTTTTCTGCCCGCTGCCTCCCGATCCGCCTCGTGCCACGCAGGACACGGCTGAAGTTCCAGCTGCCAATCCAAATGAGGCCGTTGCCAAACGCGGCCAGCTTTAGCATATTCATACACTCATCATGGAAGTGGATGGGATGGCCCCTTGGATGAGCCCATACCGACTATCATACTAGTATATGTGAACTCCACTTCCACCATTCCAGGGGGTGCACCGAGGAAGTTTGTTTGCTCGCCATGTTCCCCATCGACTGTGTCGAGGGTGGGGCCGATGCACAGGAGGTAGTGAGACTCAGACCTGCAGGCCCATGCCATGGTCTCTTCGGAAGTGATCCGATTGCCTTGGAGGTCTTTGGATGACTCTAGGCAGTCAGAACCTAAACTTGACCCAGAGCAAACACCCAGAAAAAAACAGATCCGGACAACTGGGTCCCTAGAAGGCTACATGTGCAGGTCCATACTAGCTTGCAGTCTGTGCCCACCGAAAGCAGGCTGCCGACGAGACGTCTCTTGCCGGTAGCCAGAAGGACGGAGACTTGAGGGGAGACTCTTGGAAGTTTTGCACCCCTGGGGCCCTGTTTGGACTTGCCCTCAGAGGTGCGACAGAGATCACAGATATTTTGAGGAGACGACTCTTGGATGTTTGGATTCCCTCTCAACAATCTTTGAGCCAGGAAGATGAGTCACTGGAACAGGACCTGGAGACTCGTGCAGCTCTGACGAACGTTTACGCGTGATCCTGGTGCCTTGCTTCTCTTTTGCCGCGGATTCTGTGGTGTATCAAACAGAACCATGTCTGGTCTAAGACTATCTAAAACGGTGTGAATTTGCCAGTCCCTTCATGCCAGTTCAAACAGAGGCATCCCGACATATTTTTCGGACTACACGACAGATCACATGTGTGAAATCGACACCCACATATGCAGGGGCGTAGCCACCCGCTCGAAAACGAGTGTTTCTTGAAAAGCGCATGCTTGAAAAACTGGTTGTTTTTTTTTTGCTTGAGTCATAGTCAGCCTCTTCAAAGAACGCGATGGAAATCTTTGGCAATTTTCCCATGGGATGATTCAGTGTTGCCCAGGAGGCAGATGAGGCCAATCCTCCGGAGGAGGAGGAGGAGGAAGAGGAGGACAGGGCAGCCGCAGTCTGAGATCGTCAGCCCATCCATCTTCGGCGATTTGATCCAAAGAAAGGACCCAAGTCACACCTATTTTTGACCACCAACCACAGAAGCGCACAAATATTGTCTTTTCCTGTCAAAACACGGGTTCCATGGGTCTTTTTTTCAGCTTGTACCTTGCAAAATGACAGTACACACACACAGGCCTCTTTGGGAGTGCGAACTTGTATGGATGGGCTCTCTCTTCAGACTTCTCAGGTTTGAAGGATATTTGGCCAACGAGCCTTCCACGGCTGAGTTGTGCCATTTCCAGTCAACCCATTCGTCCCAAAAAGGCAGGGGTTTCCGATGCGGCAACGATCCACCATGTGGATGATGTTAATCGAAAATCGTGGATCAAGTTACAGCCAAATCCTGTCGCAAGATGATCAAGATGTAACTTGCAAGATTCTTCCATGACGACCAGAACCTGCACGATGGAGTTCAGAGGTCACCTTGCTGAACTCCACCAATCTCCCCTTGAGACACCCCTCCTCCACATCATACCTCCATGAAAGGGCCCCCCATTGAGGGAGCCAAGTCACATGCCAGTCGTGTCGGTTTCAGGAAGTCCCTTTGGGTTGGAACGAAGATCTCAAGGCCGGCCGCGCGGTCGGAACTACTACGGATCAAAGGTGTCAACTACTATGGGTCAGATGCCTTCAAAATCGTTCTTACACGGCGCCTCATGTCAGGCGGGGCAGTGTTTTTGTAACAGTCTTTGAATTCAAAGCTTTCCCTCACAGCATCAATAGTTGCTGCACCTTGGAGCCACAAATTTGCCTTCGACGAGGGAAGCATGAATCACACATCGTTTTTTCGATGAATTAAAGCATTGTGCAAGAACAACATGAGGATTGAGTCCTTCCATTCCTCGATTCCGCTACAATACAGGGCCTGTGCCGTCGACTCATGCGTCCCTGCCAGATGACCAGACCATGCCAAACATCGCATAAAAACAGGTTTGGTGATTACCCCGCTTTTCTGGGTTTCGAAGGGAAATTCACTTTTGCACACAAGGCACCTAAAAACAGTTGGGGGGAACTTGTTCCTTGGTCTGAGAGGTCGGAGACCGACTTCAGTGGCAACGTGGTCTGCTCAAAACGCTGCCTCGTCACCCCAGGAAAGACATAAATGTGGGTGTGATCATAAACTGAAAGGCCAGGAACGCTCAGGGCAAGATTGAAAGAAGCAAGAACCCATTGCAGAGCCACACAAAGTCAAGTCTGCCTTGGATTCCTCCTTCTTCTGTTTGGTCTTCGTGGGTTTGGTCTCGGTGCGCTTGACCTTCTTAGGAATACCCATAACCTGCTCCTTGGCTTTGTCGTTCTGATTGGCTGAAGCCTTCCTAAACTTCCTGGATTGATCCTCTACGTTCCCGCCCTTTGCTTGCTTTAATGCTTGCTCAAAGTCCTGTTTGTCCCAATCACCTTCACCCCACTCAACCCCATGTTCTTCCTTCCAAATCTCTTGACGCGAGAGGCGATACTCGGCCCAAATCTCTTCTTCTGTAAGCTTTGTCCTGGTCTTTTCTGTTATTTAAAGGCTTACGCCTGACAGCCGGACGCCGGCCGGGGCAGGGAGGAGAGAGAAGGAGGGTATAGGGAGGAAACGGGTGGGAGACCCCGGCAGCATCTTCCGCGAGGAGGAGGCGGAGGTTGACTCTCCGACATGTCCAGCCCAGACACTTCTCTCGGCAACCCCGAAAACAGGGTAAAACACATGGCTTTCGCACACGTTCAATCCAGACGCGTCTCTTCGCAGCCTAGCAGACACTGTAAAACACATGGTTTTGCAACAGGCTCAATCCAGACACTTCTCGCCGCAACCCCGAAAACAGCGTAAAACACATGGTTTTCGGATATCCACTCCAGACACTTCTCCCCAACCCCCAAACCGCCATAAAACACATCCAGTCCGTGCTCTTTCTCCTCCGGTAGAAGAAAAAGAGCCAGAGACTCAGCCAAAAAAATGCTAATAATGCAAGACAACTCGGGAAGCATATCTTGCACCACGACCATATCCATGTTGTTACATGTTGGCCCATTGTTGTGTCCGCCTATCCGTACGTTGGCCTATGTAGCCAGGGTTGTTGCCCTATGTTGCCAGGCAGGGTGGCTGGTTCTTCGGTCGACCGGAATCGGTCGGCGCGGGCGCGCCCGCCCGTTAGTTACCTTCGGTAACCACACGGGCGCAGCACGCTGGCGCCCGGGTTTTCCAGGGAAGAGTTCAGCAACCTGTGACGCGACATTGATCTAGCAAACTTCCCAGGCTTCGTGCTCAACTCTGATCTGTCTGACAGTCTTCCTTTCTGTTTGCTGTTTTCCTCTTTCTTGGCAATTTTGATTTTGAGCTGCGAAGTTCAGAACCTTAGATGGACCATGAGGACCAGTTTGATTAGCAAACTCATGTTTTGGAGCAGGTTCAGCGGGGCTTGAATGGCAGTTCGTGGGGCGCCGACTACAAATTCTGCAAGACAAAACTCAAGAAGCAGGTTGCACATCACACTTGGATGCTTCATATGGCTGGGTCTCGTCGTTGTCGTTCGACCCTGGCTGAGCACCTGCAACAGAACTAAATGTTCAATTGCTCAAAATGTCGACCCATGCAAACGAAACCCGGGCGCCTTTGCCCTGGCCAGTGACATTCGAAGGGACAGGACAAGACCTGGGACGAATCAGCTCGCAAGGGCACGGAATCCTCGGAAGACTGAACTCTCATGTTACACAATCCAACTGAGCTCAGCCTCAGGCCCAAAAACATGCATCTTCAGGCTTTGAACGCGCTCTTCAAGAATCTCCGTGGGCATCGACCGAACCTTTTTATTACCATCCTCACTCCCTGGCTCATCGTTTGAAGAATCCACTACATTCAACTCGTTTGATGATGGGGGTGGCACTTCTTCAGCACGTGGGAATTCAGAAGCATTTACACGGAAATCTGCAATTCTAGCTTCCAACTGAGCATCACTAAGCTGACTCAATGTTGCCGCGCCGAGGACAGTCCCACCTTTGCAGTCCTCGTCTCGAGAATCCGATCGCTTGCACCTTGTCGCCACAATGGCTGATCAATTTGACCATGTTCTCGTCCTGATGGGAAAGAAAGCGCAGGCATTTTTCGATCCTGCAAATAACCCGATTTGCAATGATGCAGCCGCCAGGTAACAATTTGCGAGTGTCTCTTCATCGATCTTAATCTTGGACACAATCTCCTCATTGATATTCTCAATTTTCATGCTCTTAATGTGAACCATTTGCAGCTGCAGCTGCAACTGTTGTTTGTCTGGGATCCCGAGGCACTTCTGTAGCTTCATCCGCGCTAGCAGCGGGAGCAAGACTGCCTCGTTCATATAGCAGTCTTCATCGCTGCGGCCGGAAACAACGCGCAAGCCAACATTCACGATCATGTCTTTCATATGCTGGCAGTTCGCATCACGCGGCCCTTGACCTCTGGATCCTCCCACCACTCCTGAAAAAATACACATATGTTGAGCACCATCCCAACCTTTCACCAACCCAACTTTTGAGCCACGCCGCCAATCACAGTAGAAGTAAAGCAGGTAAGGTAGATGGCAAACAGAATGGAAACTGAACAAAATTGAAAATGCAAATCAAAAGCTCACCCCGTGGTCTCCGCATCTTCAAGGCCCTTCGTGTCGAAGATGACTCCATGGTCACAATACTCACATTTCTATAGAATGTCGTCCAGAACCAATTCACCCGTCGGGTGCAAATACGCAAACGGACCAATTCCGATTCAAATTACGGTAAAACATGCTCAGATACGCAAGGTGAAGAAAAAACCATGGTTCGGTGTTCCAGGTACATATATAACATAATACTATATCTATCGGAAAAACCTTGGAGGAGGTGGAGTGGCTGCTAAGATAGGCATGAGAGACACAGAGAGAGAGAGACAGTGCAGTCCGCTCAGCCCACCACAGAGCCGACGCGACTGGTTTGTGTGGGATGATGCAGAAGATAGTATGAGTTTCTTCGGAAAAGTGTGAAGTACAACAACTCGAATTGTTGGGTGTCAACGTCCTCTTGGACAATCACGTGAATGTGATGGGGCAGTCTCCTGGCTATCAGCTTGTGAAGATAGAAACCCTTTTGCAAATCCTCCAAGAATCCCACAGGAGCAAATACTTCTGGAACCAACATGGAAGTGGAGTGTAATGCAGGTCCTGAAAGATCCTCAGATCCTTCCCTGCCCAGTGGTTTTTTCTTTTCGGGCGCGCAGGCCTGGCGGCGCCAACGCCGCAAAGTCCTGGCGCGGCAGAAGGTCGCGGAACGGCGGCAGCTGCGGCAGAAAGCCTGGGAGGTGAGCGATGCCGGGGGCGGGCATTTGTGAACCGTTGCTCGGTCCAAGAATCTCCCATATAGGACTTGTATAGCAAGAGAGGAGTGGATTCTGGCACTAACACACAGCCCATCTTGGGCAGGTGCGGCAATAGGCTTGGTAGAACATGAAGACGACGGCGGTGTGGTCACAGCGGTCACGAGCAGCCATTTGCCAGCAGCATGTTCCGATGCAATGGTAGCAGGCATTAAATCTCAGAAGTCTGATTGTAGAGGACGCTGCTATTTTCCTGTCGGTGGGTCCGAACTGAGTCATGCTGGATCTTTGTATTCATGGCTGAGACGAGCAGGTTTTCATCTTTTTTGGACGCCCTAACTAACCATCACCGAGTAACCTCAGAGGTACACTTTACATAAGGGCCATGTGACCTCGAATTACCAGCTCAAAACATGTGTTCAAGCTTTCGATGATCAAGGTTGAAATGATCTGTGAGAACCGCGTTTTTGCACACACTTCTACTGTACAGCCACTGAGTGTTCAAAGCACAGTCTGCCCTAAATAGGTTTTGCTGACCATTCATGGTCTTGAATCTTGAAACAGTTGCACAGGTGGAAGATTTGGGTCCGGACTTTGCAAATTCCATGCTGAGCAAGGAGGACCGCGCTTTTTCTCAGAGCCTTGCTGCAAACGAAGTGAAAAGAAAACATGTGTCAGTCCTCTCTTCGAAAGGACTTTCTACGCTTCAAGCGCCGGTTCTCCACGCCAAGAATGCAGAGTGATGGCAGTGGGAAGGCAGCGCCAGTGGGAAGGCATCACTCGTGAGATTGATGTGGGAAAAAAAAATCCCCTATCAAGCAGAAGCCTCCAGAACATCTGTTTGGTTTGCTTGAATCTCAGTGTCCCCAACTTCTGGCAGGAAAATATGAGGGGAAGGGATTGCGAGCAGGTCTAGCTTAGATGTCACAGGGCCACTAGGGTTTGGCATCCCACACAGACGTTCCATGCTCAGGCGGCTTCCGCCACACCGCTCTGGACACGTGGTGACGAAGATTTGTCTGATTTGTTCCAAGTTCGCCGAGAGTCCCGGAAGGCGTGGAGTTCTCGTTCTCGCAAGAAAGTGCACATTACAGGCCTTGAGTTGGACCCGATTCATGCGGTTCCAAACCAACCTGCAAGGTGGGGTTCTTCTTTGGCAAGCGGCGAGGGTAACGTGAGTGGACCGACATGGAACGCCCCGACTCCAAGACTTGGATGAGTTCGACCGGCCCCGTCACGACGGAAACTAGAAATGGTGTGTCAGAAGGTGTTTTTTCAGAAAGGGCCTATGGCACCAGAAGTGGCCGAAATCTTCATGATGGGCCTCTCATTCTGATTGTGTCCTAAACTGATTCCATATGTGATCAATTCCTGGTCGTTTGGGATTTCTTCAAGACCGCACATGCTGGGGGTCTCAGGGTTCAGGAGGATAGCATGCCTTCAACGGCCTTACTTCATGCGCTGCATTGCATCATAGTCGCCATCTCATACCTGATGTGCCCCGTTCTCTCCATGCCATGTCAATGCATGGTTCCACTGTGTCAGAGAACCCCCATGAAACCATCAGAGCCATCTCCACGCAACCTCCAACGCCTTGGCGTCCCAACAGCCTCAGCAGTCTGGAGCGGGCGTTCCTCCTGTTTTTTGCGGGTTCTGGGGTCGCTGAGCTACGCTTGGAGATGAAACGAACGCGGAAACGGCGCTGTTCCAAGGATCAATGCCCTCCACAGATCTGTGGGTGTTCGAAGAGAAGAATGTAGACTCGTGATTATGATTATAATTCAACCCCCCTCGATATGAAGAGGCTTTTCAATCCAAATGGAAGGATTTATTTGTCAAGAGTCTACATTAATTATGTGGTGCTGCGAAGGGTTCTCATAGGATCGGATTTAATTTCAGTCATGTCGTTGAGTGGATTGCGGGACTTGTGGGTTTGCGCAAGCAATCGCAAGCGTAAACGTTCAACCTGCTTTGGTGAGACACCTGGAATGGTTGACGCACGTTACCTAGTCATTCATGGCATTTCTTTGTCCATGTTTGCTCTACTTTTGAACAATCCAGAAGACGGCTCGCTTCATCCTCAAGTCGAGTGAGTTCGCCACGTCTCATGTGCGGAGTTCGTCGGCTTTCACTCTCTGCTCCGTCGCTCCCAACGTCGGGGTTTTCGGAGGGCGAAGACGGAGGAAAAGCCCACGCGGGTGGCGGCGATCGGTGTCGGTTCGGAGAATCCTCGGGATCTGGGGCGAAACCGGTTCGCAGATCGTGTCTTCGTCCATCGGAATGTTGATGTTGGCGCAGATCGGTGGGTCTTTGGATGTCGGGTTCGATGGATGGTCTGTTTTGTTTCATCCAAATCCCTCTCCAGAATACCTCAAAAAGACGAGGAATGAGACGAAGCATGACAAACCACTACTAAAAGAGAGACGGTCAATCAGTCGAGGAACTACACCGGTTTGACCCGCGGTCACAGACGGTCGTTCCAGGAGCAGCTCGCTTGGAATGGACAAGTGGAACGACACTTCAAGTGCCCTGAAGGAACGCAGGCGAGGAAAAACCGGGCGCAGCTGCGCAGCTGGGCTGGAACAAACAGCGACCTGCCAAACTTATTTGAAAACCGTGATGGATGAATGATCAAAAGCGTTGAGTGCCTGAGAACGCATCATATATGGTTTGGTAGTTTTTCAGCTGGTTTCCTTGCACCAGCTGAATGTTTGTGTCGCAGATGGATTTCTTTGTCCACCGGGCTGTTCCAGCTCGACTCAGTGGCCAGTCGGGACCGCTGTTTATTTTGTTCCTGCAACGACTCAGGACGTCTCGGTCGGGACTCAATCCTTCCGTTTCGATCGAGGCCCTTGAGGCTGAAAACCCCTCCACGTTGGCAGGCGAAGCACTCCCCTGAAACAAGATGGGCCAACGTGGAGAACGTGCGTTCTCCAGTTGGATGACAATTTTTGCGAACACTAAACAGCGAAACCATGTTAGTGACTCGGAGTGTAATGCTTTGACCCTGTTGAGGCTTGCAAGACAGTGCAGCAGGTGGTCCAGGGGCTCTACTTGCGCAAGGATGGCAAGACGTGCAGGCCAGCACCGCGACAAGCGCCCCAAAACACTAGTAAGTTGGTTTCGGAACCATGTGCAAGGTAGCGGGGGAGTATCAGAAGCGGTGAACACATCAACTTGGTGAGGGGGCCGGCTACTCCCCACAAAAACAAAGATGCGCTATATTTCCTATATGAATATTATGTTCTTCAAGATTGTATCGTTGATAACTGTCTATACATGTTTGATGAAACCTCCTAACCACATGTATATGACCAATAGGTTCTGTATGGCTTCACCTTGTCCGTCTTGAGCTGTTTTCCCACTTCAACGGTAGATGTTTGACGTCCTTCGAAGCGGTTGGAAAACGTTGCACATCGCAGCACCAAGGACGATCTGAGGGCCCCGCCCAGCGCAGAGGACTTCGAGACCGAGATGTCCGGCCTTAAAAAGTGATTCGCTGCTCCATTGAGATGGTCTACTCTACTCGTTTTTGGAAGAATCCGGAACCTATGGAACCTATACAGACTGCTAGACTGCTTTTTCGGGTCGGTCGACAGAAGTTGTCCGGATGCTGTGGGTCAACAGGCTACCGGTGTTTGACCACCGAAAAGGACCAGAATAGACTACTGTACCGGGAGTTTTACCTACCAGGGATTACGTATTATATATACATATATATTAAAATATACATATATATATAAGTAACTATATATCATACCTTCTTTGCACGAAAGAAATACGTGTTCCATGAGAATCTTAAGGCCCTTGAAGAAGAAGCACTGTGAGTCATGTTCCTTATTGCAATGAGTCCGTTCGACCGGCATATGTGTTTTTAACATTGTGTGGCACTTGGTGATGTGCAAAAAAATGGCTTGTATTGCTTGATTCGTCTGGATTTTTTGTAGTTGGCCATTCGTTGTTCCGCCACTAATTAGCAGGGCGGTTTGCTAAGTGGCTTCTGGGTTTGCTGTGCAATGCCCCGGTTGCCAGCTGTCTTGGCTCAGCATTTTGCTGCTTCCCCCATCTTGAAAGCAGGCTTCGCAAGCTTCAGTTGTTTCGATTCGGTAAAGCAAGCCGCACTTGTGGCTGCTCTGCTAGAGGCATGGCACGTGCTTCAACCATGGCTGGACGTATGGGCTTGAAGAATATCCAGGCAAGATGCAAAACAATGTTTTGCAGTGAACTTGAATGAACTTAAAGGCGTTGCTGTCTCCGGGTTTGCATTGATCTTTGTGCAACAACTGTACAGCTCAGAGGGCCGTTTTGGAGGGAAAGTTTGGAGGGATATCGTATCGATTTCTTCATGCGATTAGAGGGTAACCACGCAGAATGAAAGGCTCTACTCAGAGGGTCAGGTGAAGTATAGAAATTCAGCCAGATGCTATTTGCTTCAGTGTACAGACTGCATAGCAAGCCGTCGGTTTCCGCCGGCTTCTGATTCTAGATTCTTACCCCTGTAGGATCCGGGATCCTACCAGTGTGCTTTGATGTAATTTGATATTCTTTTGTGCCTGCTTCTCATGTGGGCTGCCTCCTTGTTCGCCAGGCCCGTTCCATGTTCACCGGCGGCATGCCGCCTGGAGGGCGTTTGCCAGGCTTCTGGCTGAGTGTAGGGAGGCTCAGTCCAGATGGATTTTTGATAGGGAGGGCCCCAACAGCTTTTGATCTACCTGGACCTTCATGTCGGGCTGTCCTGTCTGGAGATCCCGGATGGTAGTGTAGGGGCTTCCAGCCAGGTGACCCCGACATGAAGGTGCTGGTATGTTCTGTTTGTATACTTTCCCTGAAACAGTTGGGTTCTGGATTCATTGGGAGGAGCGGAGGTTTGGAGGATGGTTCCAGGCTTCCAGGCCTCCGGGCTTCATGGCTCCCAATTGGCTAGCGGTTCTGGGGTCTAAGCTCAGACAGTTTCTGCCAGATCGTTTCTCCTCAGACCTCTTTGCTCTTGACTCACGGCCAAATCAAAGTGAGCTCGTTCCCGTGCAGTTCTATTGGGTTTGGGCTTTGTTCCAGGGAGAAAAGCAGGTCGGCAGGTCCTGGCCAAAAGCAGTGGACTTTGCGAACACAAATGGCCTTCCTCGCTACCAGTGTGGAAGAGGACCTTACTAAAAGGGGTAGTTTCCCAGGTGCGCTTATTGGTTGGATGGGTTTTGGGAGAGTACGTACAGTACTGTTCGTTGAGCACCACCAAGCTCCACGCTCCAGCTTTGCTTAAGGCACCAAACATTGTGCCTGTCTTCCGTGCCTGAGCTCGCACTGTTGATGGACGAGGTTGTGGCATGGGCACCAGTCGAGCACCACCGCACATCACTGCACTGCCTTAAAAGATGTCAATAGCAGGGTTCTTCGGATACCGCTTCGGTGGGTGGGGTGGGATGCACGCTTCAAATGAGCTGATGACAGGTGTTGATAGGTCTTATATACTGTAAGTTGTTTTCTGTGGCAAAACCCAGGATGTTCGAGGGTTTGCGTGGTGTCGCCGCAGGCACACGCAGGCGCACGCATCCAAGCCAAGACCAAATTCCAGGATTTTCGAAGTTTCATGTCACGAAAGGTAGCCCTTTAGGGGATACCTTGAGTTTGTCTTGCGAAGCAAGTGTTGGCGCGTCCGGGTCGAATTGATTTCTCAATACAGAACCCCCCCCCCCCCCCCTTGGAATTGATTTTTCAAAACAGCCCCCCCCCCTCTAAATTCAATTCTCTCCTCGAGAACGTCTTCGTGAGCCTCTCATGATTTCAGGATAGTTGAAACCCTCTTGAACATTCAGAATGAGTGCATATGAAATTCTAATCACGAAAGGTCCCCCGAGGGGATACATACCTAGAGTTTGTTTTGTGAAGCACGTCAATTCTCTCCTGGGGAACGTCTTCGTGAGCCTCTTATGGTTTCAGGATAGTTCAAATCCTATGATGCTCTGATTCAATGCTCACCGATGATCTGAGCCATGGGGCAAGTTTGTTTTCCTCAGAATCTTTTTGAACATTTCGAGAGCATATGTTTGAACATTTAGAGTGCATATGAACACATATTTACGACAGGTCGCCTCCGAGGGGATAAATCACCATGTCGAACATTGCATTTCTGTTCCTGCCTCTCGCGTTCTCTTCTCTTCCCGCTGTCCTACCTTTCGTGTCTCCCTCCTCTCAAGTTTCATGATGCTTGGTGTGACGTGTGTTCGACCCTTCATGATGTTTGAGTGTCCTGTTTCGACAGAAAACATGAGAAGAAAATAGGATCGCTTGATGTTTGTGTGTGTGTTCTGAGGAAAGGGTCAGCATGACAAGGTGCCAGTGGAAGCGTTCTCCATCGATTGCCGACCCTATCAACCTGGAACCTGGAACGAGGCAGAACTCTTCGACCGATGCTCGGCATGATTGCACAACTTACTATTTTTTTTGGTGGGGCCAATCAAGAGCATGAGTTGGCTGGTGAAAATTCCAGTTGTATCACTCTATCCTGGTGGCACCTATTTTGTGGCAGTTTGTTATGGCAGTTTGTGATGGTCGGTCATTTCAGAATGTTTCACAAGTTGCCCAAAAGTTGCTTTTGAAGCACATGTCAAAATGTTCATCACTTGAGAAGAACACCTCGCTTGGCTGTGAATTACCCAAAAAAGGATTGGACAGTTTGTTTTATCTTTACCCCATAATTCACCTAGCCTACCCAGTCAATGGATGGCCTTCAACCTTTTGGGATCGTTTGGGTGATTTAAAAGGATAGAGCAACAGGTGGAAAGTCTGGTTCACCTTTCTGTGTCAGGGATCGAATCGAAAAGCTTCGGGAGTCGGTCGACTCGGTCGACTCGGTGTACCGCGTGGTCGGTGCGAGGCATGAGGAGCACCTACGACACGTTTGGTGTTGTGAGGCGGGGAAGCTTTGATGAAATGCCCCGCGGGGTTCCGCCCCCCCCGCGGGAAGCCGCAGCAATGCATCGATTGAAGTTTCAGAGAACCGACAAACCACAGTAGCAAGGACGCTACTGGTACTGGTAGCTCCTGGCATCGCTAGTAACAAGGGCATCGCTACGAACGGAGCGATCGGACGCACTCAAATCGTGTTTTTTTGAGTGTGGACGGTTCCAGTGAAGAGCGGTCAAAGCGAGAGGAATTGGCCAAACATGCCTCAAACCAGTCTTTGTTGTACCCTTTTACTGTGAGAAGCCCTTAGCATTCCCAGCCTTGGGAAGATATGTGTTCTGCTCTGGCTGAGGTTGACCAACACCGGCCTTACTGAAGCCAAAGAGATGCATCGATATGCACGGGCCGTGGTGAAGAAGTACTTTGCCTGAGGAAGAAGTGCATCTTTCCAACTTGTGTCGATCTAAGATCGATCTAAGATCGATCTAAGATCTTCGTCCTCATGCACATGATGAGTTGCATCTGTCATTTGCATCTGTTTTCGCCTACTCCTCGGCCTCCACTCTCACGAGTCGAAACGACCAGACACCGGGACTCGGGACCCCCCCACCGGACTGATGGCCACCAAATGGCACCGGAACCGGTCGATCGAGGCAAATGAAATACGAAGGTGGCGCCAATCCACGTGAAGGGATCATCGAGAACGTCTTTGAGGCGATCCTGGATTCGAAGATCCTTGTTCTTCGAACGACCATGCGGAGGTTGATATTCTTTCTGGGGGGGGATTGACATGCTTTGTTTGGGGAAAGAATCGTTTGGAGAAAAAAACGGTTTTGTGGAATCCTTTGACTTTCAGTACTCGCCACACGCTCACAGGTGGGAGCACCCAACGATGCCTGGCTACACTACCATCACGAGATGGCTGCCTGGCTGAGAGGAACGAGTGGAACAACCGAGGCGTATCGTATGTGTCGGTGACTGAAACGGACTGGAACCACCGAGGCGCCGGAACAGAACTGTTTCTGGTTTGGACTGGGTTTCCAGGAAGAACACCTCTGAAAAAGCATGAAAAGGCAATTTCTGGTGTTTTGGCTCACCTGGGACCTAGGACCCAGAGAAGCTGTGGAAGCATCAGCTGAAGAGCCTTTCGAATTGGAACCACCTTCTCAAGTGTCCTTCTCGGCCGTGGTCACTAGAGTCGCGTACCGTCCAAAATCTCCTGTACCACCATGTTCAGTGAGTACATGTAAGATCATGTAAGTATCAAGCACATTGGAGAGATGCAATCCTAAAACGAATCCCCCGCACCGGGGTCCTTTCGGCCAGGCCGCAGTGCTGGCGGCAAATCTCTAACTCCGTCGCCTGAGGCTTACAACCAACACAGCATGAAGAACTTGGCCTTTTGCAGCATCAAGGCAAGCCAAGTTCGATGGCACAGCTTTAAAGGACTTTAAAGGTATGGCTGACGTCGTGAAGTATTTGGATGCCAGGAATTTCTGTGCTACGTGTTTGAAAGTTCTTCAGATATTTGGCCTGACTGGCCTGAAACTGTTGGAGGCTGTGAGATCTCCAGCTCCAGCACTGAAATTTGTGGGTGCCCCACAGTTGGATACAGTTGGTGTCAGTTGGTTGGTGTGTGTGTGTGTGTTCGTCTCCGTGTAAGCCTGACGTAGCGTGTCCAGGGCTGACCAAGTCGAAGCATTCTTTTCATGGTTGGAATCTCTGAAAGCCAGGACCATCTAGAACCAGGATTTGATCTGCCCAGACGCTCCAAACAGCCCTTGGTCCCTCAAAACCATAGGGATTGGTTCGGGTCCAGACCCCTCCATATGAGGGTCCGACCCCGGCATAGGTTCGGGTCCAGGGTCGCGTTTGGGTGGGTCCTTGGCTTGGCCCCACCGACCGAACCCGAGCACCGCTCCGCCGCAGTGCGCGCCGGACCCGCCGGAGGCGACTCCTGGCAAGGGCGACACATACTTGTCCGAGAACATGTCAGTCACCGACTCCTTGATGCAGACGGACCTGGGACGAAAGCTCCGTGCCACGGTGAAGGAAGGAGACATTGTCCGAAAAGAAGACGGGTGAAGGAAGACGGGTGCCGAACAAAGTCGTATTCAGAAACTGCGCTGTATTCAGAAACTAGTCTTCAGAAACTATTTCGTTGTATTCAGAAACTGCGGGATTCAGAAACTATTTCGTTGTATTCAGAGACTATTTTCGTCGTATTTAGAAACTACTGTACTTTGTCGTATTCAGAAACTATTTCGTTGTATTCAGAAACTATGTTCGTGGTATTCAGAAACTATGTTCCTCGTATTCTGTAAAATGTGTGGGGGGGGCAACAAACAGAGGTGGGTATGAATAGTGTTGGTTTTGCTCTTCGTAGTTTCCGAACAGTAGTTTCCGAATACAACCGTCCAGTTTCCGAATACATCCGAATACCAGTTTCCGAATATAGTTATGTACTTTCCAAATACAACCATCCAGTTTCCGAATATACAACCGTCCCAGTTTCCGAATATAACCGTTTAGTTTCCGAATACAACCGTGACCCATTGGCACCCTCAAGTCTTTTCAGATCAATGTTGATTGATTAAGAACCACTGAAAGTTGCTTCGAGCGACGGTCTACCATGCTTTCCCGCACTCGAGTGGGCTGGTTGTGTTTTAACAATGTTTTAACGGTCCACACCCTAGCTCATCCCGTTTAACTGCAGGGGTGGGGGGTAGTTTTCCCTGCCTGTCCGCCGGTCCGTGTTGCACCCGACGCGTTGTCCGGGATGCGTCGGCGAGCCACTAGACCATTAGCCCAACCCTCCTGGAGTGGGCTGGGGTGTTTGCGACGGATGATATCAATCTGATGGTCAAGTCTTGACCCGAAGACCAATCACACGAAGACGCTTTGTTGTAAGCTCGTGACGGAGTAGAGTCTTCTTCGTGCGCCCAAAACGGATTCTTTGGCAAGAACATTTGAGAGATGTTGTTGGAACATGTTGGCATCCAAGGATCTAGGAATTGATGCAAAAATCATTCACTTGTGATACCTTGTGGGATTGCTGGCCCACCTTTGTTTTAATTGTCTTTACCAAACAACTATTATTTCTATATGGCTGGAACTGCCAAAGACAAGCATGATGCAAGAGATGCTGTGACATTTACGGCATATTTGATGCATCACAAATTATAGAAATGTTCAAGCAGGCCTATTTTGAGCGATTCGTGCTTAATATAAGCGCCTCGCCCCGTCGTGGGCGGACATTCAAGAGCGGTGATATGTTTTTTCGTTGGACACATGTCTCTGGGGCATGTTTTGCTGGCAAAAAGCCTTCACAATACCTAGATCTTCCAACTCTGTTTGCAAGAAATATGCCTTTTGGCTGCTTTTAATTTTGTAGATGAAAAGGCATGAATGTTGCACAGTCTAAAGATCTAGGTATGGTCCTGGTAGTAACGGTAGGAACAGCTTTTCAGTGTGCTTAGAAAGCAGCCAAGTGCTTTTTCAAGAACCGGAGCAGATGTAAGGAAACCCGGACAGGCTTGGAGACTCTTGATTAATAAACCCCCCATGTAAAGAGGCTTGTCAATTCAGATGCAGGGGGTTATTAATCCAGAGTCTACATGATATCCGCCTTCATGACTCAAGATGGAGTGACCGCCCAGTCGTTGTGAAGAGTCCGCGGCCTTGGTTTCTTCGACCTCGGGGCTTTGCTCGGGTTCGTTTGACTTTTAAGGTGCTTGGAAAGTTGTGAAAGCATAGACCCCAGATAGCAAAACGTATTTTGGGGGTTCCAGCGCCCGCGGCAGCACCAGCACCCTCTAGGGCAGCACCAGTACCCAGGCAGCACTGCACCAGCGCACACAGGCACCTCTTCCTATGCTTGAAGGTATTTGAAGTAAGAACCCCAAGAGCTTTCACTATCTGGGGGACAATCAATCACATCTTTGATTTGCAAGCATCCAAGGTGACAAAGGAGTGTGTCCGCGACTCAGGAGTTGATCCGGATGGACTCACTGGTTTGGGAGGTGTGATTTTCCAGTGGAAGTCCTTGAAGTCCCGTTGACGGGACTTGTGTGAGGAACTCTTGTCAGAGAAGATTTTGTCCTGGAAGCGTTTGAGTCACGTGAGGCTACATTCGATGCCTGACAGATCGAGAAGCATACGAGGCCAGAAAATTGAGTGGAGAAGCGCTAAATGCTTGATGACGTCACAAGGCCGCAACATTCCGAGAGAGAAAATTGTTCTAATGTTGCAAAGATGGTTTGTGGTTTGGTGTTCCGAGACATCAAAACGACCAGCTTTGAGATACTTTGTCCTGACAGAAAACTGCAGGGCATGGGATGGCAACAGGGTGCTTCTGCGTCTTGGCAGTGGAAGTCACGAAAATGGGAAGAGGGGCGAACTGGGTTCCGGATACAAACCCATGAATGATCATTCATGATCAAAAAGCAGAGGCTTTCGCGAAGAAAAGAACCTCGATCCGACTCAGCGGCGGATTTGGGGTCTTCCCAAAATCGCGCCCAGGCGTCGATCGCGCCGATCTGACCGTCGCGTTTGGTAAAGCGCGCGCGTACAGCGAAAACAGTGCTTCCCCTCACAGCCCCGGTGATTCGCACCCGGGGCATGTGTTGGTCGCTTTGGAAGGCTCACAAGCAGAAGGCCAGGCAGAAACCAGTCGCATGCATGCATGCATTCTGTCCGCGTGGTCATTGATGCCTGAGAAAAAAACAGGTGTCACGGCCGACTGGTGCAACACCCTCCGAAACGGGTGTTGTTCATGTTTTCTTCCGAATTCGCTGTCTTCCTGAGGTTTACAACCACTGGCAGCTGTCTTTCGGCGTGGAGACGTGCCTGGGATGTGTCGTTTCCGCACCATGCGTGCGCAGACGGCCGGGCTTGTTTGAGGAGATCCCTTGGTTTTCCCCGTGGTTTTGACCCGAGAGCAAGGCTAGATTCCATCTTCAAGCATGACCCAAATCATTGGACATTCCCTTCCTCTGAACCAAGCGCCATCCATAGCTTTGTGGGCTTTCAGAAGCTTGGAGTAAAACAAGAACCCATGCAACTGAAAGCACCAGCCATTTGATGTGGCATGACTGGCTACTGATCTCTCAGCTTTCGTCGTTCTCCAAGCGGCGCCTTCAGAAGGATGCTTGTTGAATCCAGTGCCCTTCATATATGTTGATATGAAGATATGGCTACGGCCAGAAACATAAGGCTTGGATCACACACCCAAACCCACACACGATCCATACCAGGGTTTCTGGCCACACCCATATATATGAAGGGCACTCAGAAGGTCGGTTTCTCACCAAAGAGTCGGTACTCATCGTTTGCTTTTGGGCAAGAGAGCGTCAGGGGTCACCAGTAGACCCTTTAAACGAACGCCGTGGCACGCACCCACCAGAAAACCATCATCTAAACCACGCAAAAAGCTTCCGCTTCTTCTTTGTTATGAGATCGGAGCCCATTCAGATATGATCTTCTCCATCTGCAGGACCGATCTGACTTTCGATCCCTAGCCATTCCGATCACACCACGCTCTCCCCCTTCGGAGGCCGGAAGAAGCCGAGCGTGTGGCGCGCGAGTGCGGTTTGGACGTGGAGCGCCCTGGCTTCAGCGACGCAAGCGCCAAGACCTACGGCCGAACGTACTGGTCACGCGATGTCATCGATGCCTGGTTTTGCTTGCTTGGTGATGTGCGTGTTTTTCCCGGTTCCTGGGTGAATCCAGGAAGATGTGTCGTTTTATCTTTTCCTGGTTCCATGGAGTGCGCAAATGTATTAGTATGTCTTAAAAGTGCAAATCAGATTGCACCGGACATTGTGGGCAACTTGCAATCGGACACTGTGAACACGGCTTTGCATCCAAAAGCAGTGTCATGTGTGAGTACATTTTGGAACTCCACTTGGGGACTTGCCCATTGAAGCGGCAAGATCTATGTTGGCTCAGGTGGTGTGAGGATCCTCTTAAACCAGAATCTAAGCGATACATGAAGACCAAGCATCTTGACTTGGAAAGTCAGCCGGATTTTTTTGTTTTGCGGTTTGCTTTGCAGACCCATTTCATTTGTTTGTGCTGATGCTCTGAAATCTTTGTCTCTTCTTCGAGCACTTTGGCAAGAGGGTCTCTGAGAAGAGCGTCATGGGTAGCCGACGTCATGGTGCATGTTTTGCTCAATGTTCACTCAAGCTCAGTGTCTCATGTCCTCACAGTGATGCAAAAAGGGTTTTGAACAAGTATTGAACTGCTGAATTTCTGGTCCAAGGCTTACAATCAGCGCCTTTGAGTACTGTCCATCCGTGGGGAGGAATGTTCTCTACAGCACCTCAGCTTTATGCAAGATGACAATAGCAAGAAGCTTCTTCCTGCCACGATTTGAAGACATGTATGACGAACGTATCAATGCTCACTAGCGAGATATTCGTTGGCTCGGTATGTTCCTGCATTCTGGGTAACGAGGCAAGCAGATGTCATGCCAAAGTCTGGTTTTGCTACGTGAGGGCCCAATGCTTGTATAGTAACTAAGGATACTCCGGATACTCCCAGAAAACACCTTCCCCAGAATCTGAGAGATGAATTGCAGTTGCCTAAACAGAACCCCCATTCACCCTCCCGAACCTCGTCCGACTCTTGCAACGACCGACCTGTGGTAAAAAATCGGGCTCTGACCACACGAGGCAGCATTGCAGATCACAACATGTGGTTTGACACCTGGAAGGTGCGACACAAGTTCAGTTCGAGGAAACACGGTCCGACAAGCTCCGACGAACACGGAAGAGTCTACACGAGTCTACACGTCAAACATGGTTACGTGGATGGCATGAGACTGAAAGGACCATGAGATCCGGATACCAAACAGGTGATTTGTCCACTTCCATGTTAGTGAGTCGGAGGGTAGTTGAAACAAGCCAAAGGAAGAGAGCTGTTCCGTTGAAGTTTACATGCCGAGTTTGGTTTTGTGTGTTGCTGTTTCCCGAGCAGAATGTTTCAATATCTTTGATTGTGCACAGCACAACCAGACTTGCCAGCCACCACTGCAACACCGGCTCATTTGGCGGACAGGGCGTGCATGATGTTCCACCAGCCAAGCGTCCTCTTCAAATGACCTTCGGTGATGGCACACCCTTCACGCAGCTTGGTGCAAGAGCAGAGTGAAACACAGTGAAACGATTGGTTGGCAGTGTTTTGTTTTATTAGTTTGGTGATGTTTGGTGCATTCACAATGTAGACTTGATTAATTAATACGACCCCCCCTGTTTGGATGCGCGTACTTGCGAGTCTGATACGCTTCTACGTGACCCCTTGCTGTGTCTGTTTGGATTGTAAAGCCTCTCCCTGTCTGGGGGCAGAAAGCAATCCACAGGCGTTATGAGTCCACGTGAGTTCATGTGACTTGTTGACCACGCCGTACGCAAAGACTGCGTTCTCATCCCTTTGCGCACCATGTGTGGCGTCTTCTTGAGTGGTTGACGCCCCATGTGTGGCGGGTCCGTTCAGACCCGGTTTTTCGGATTTCCAGAGCCACCCACACCACTACCGGTGTCAGTTCTCCAACTCCAATGGACAACTGTTCCAATGATTTCCAACCCGGTCCTCCCTTTTTGGGGGGTTGGCAAGGTTGGAGGAGCTGCAACAATGGGTGACTCGGTTCCAAGTCGGGACGAGTTCCGCGACGAGGAGGTTGGAGGAAAGCGTTGGTAGCGCTGCTGGAAGCGCTGGTGGAAGGTGTTGAGATTGCTGAGGGGTTTTTCGAAGTGGAACGGAAATACTGCGGACGCGGAAGCGAGCTACGGGCTGTCCACATTCACTGAAAAGGGAGCTACTGGGAGCCGGGAGCTACAGGCACTTGTTTGATTGCTAGAACACACGGTAGAGGGTGGTAGATTGTGGTATAGTATAGTTCTCTGAAGTCGGGTCGGGATCCGAGCTGGAGCGTTCCTTTGCGGAAAAGAATCGATGCTGGCATCCGTACTCGGTTCGCCAAGTGATTGGAGGATCTTGGAGAAAATGGTGGCATGATGTGTCTGGCTCTAGTCCGGGTGATCCCCCATCGTAGGTAGCCCTTCCTGTTCCTTTTCTCCTGGGGCGAGTTCCTCGCCCCCGCGGAACTCGTCGGCACGGAGACCTCGCGGACGCGGGGAAGACCGGTCGTATGTTCCGGATTCGATCCGATTCCGGTCTTCCTTTCCCCTGGACAGTAAATCCATGTAAAGCCGAACTGCACCCCTTCCAGCTCTTCACTGCAGGTGTCCTTGTATGATGAGGGAGGCATCCGTGTGCAGTGGGAGACCGGCGACATCGTAGCATTTTGCAGCTCGGACATTGGTGGTCCAGGGGTCGCAGAACTGAGCACACTCCCACTCACTAACATGAAAGCGGAAAACCACCTACAGTATGTGTAAAGGAAAATGATCTTCCAAGTGCCCTTTTTGCACTTCCATGTAGGAGTGTAACAATATTAATATGTATGTCACGTGATTGTCGCATGACATGCGTTTGGCCGAGTCTCACGGCTGAGGGATGTGTCTAACTAGAACGAACATGAACGAACTAAATCATACAAATCTATCAGCAAGCTCCTTCCACTCAGCAACAGCGCAGCCAGCAAAGCCGGCCCAGGCAACTATCGCTACGCCCATGGCCGGTGATTTGGCCAAAGTGGAGAAGTTGAGAGTTGAGATCGTCAAAAGAATCATCGTCCATTTGATGAGTCATGCCTCATCAAAAGAACCATCTAATGGTCGAAGATATATATATATATAATATGTTATAACTATAAATATATATATATACATGGATGTTCCTGCTGAACTTGACAGATTTCAGCTACAAAACCACATGTCAACTGCAGCACCGCGACGACCAGGGATCCGCCTTAGCGCAGGCGCTGCGTCGACCGAAGCCGACGCTTCCACCGTTTGTTCCACCGTAGCTTCTTGTTGACCAATCGGCATGCCAGCAGCTACGTTCGTGAGCTTCTTGCTCCCAACGTCTTCTCTTCTAAGTGGGACCAGCTGATTGGTCCGGTTCAACGAAACCTCCACCCCGGGTCACCCCGGGTGATTCACCCCGCGACTTCGCATACGCCGTGTGACCCGATCAGAGGCAAACGGAAGGGTAGTGCACAGAAAAACCTATTCTACTAACATCGTGGAAGGCGTGGGACATTCGTAGAACCCAAGGCTATTCGTGGACAGTTCGTGGAATGGTGGGCCAGTAGGAGAACTGACTGCAACGAAATTCCAGAAACCTTCGCAGAACTTCGTGGAAGGTATTTTTGATGCACTAACTTCGTATAAGCGATTTTTGCTGACCCCCTTTCTCCACACACCCTCCATTTAGCCTATACCCGACCCGAGGCCGGCCTTTACGTTGCACAAGTGGGAGGAGCGACAGATCGGCGTGGTGCTCGGGGAGAAGTTCCAGCGCCAAGGCAATGGGACCCTTCGCCGCCGCGACGCCGGTGACGGTGACGGGAGCGGCGTCGACGCGTTGGACGGGGAAGCGTGTGGAAGCGTGTCGACGCGATGGCCGAACTGGGAGCGGGCAAAGATGGATGGATGTGGTGCTGTGGGTGGTCCTTTTCAAACTCTTCGAAGGCTTCAATGGCCCGGGCCCATTCTTAAGGGGCATGGATTGGTTTTGCTTGTTGTTCGATACATCCCTTGGCGTCCGGCTCGAACGTGGATCCACTAGGCTCAGGTTTCTCCTGATGTTCGAAAGTTGCAGAGAAGCAGAGTGTACCATACCCCAGACACTCCATGCGACCGCATATGTGCCGACCGCATATGTGCCTACATTGACCCCTCTGGCACCACCCCTGGCTCCCTAAACCCTAAACCCTAGATCCTGATAGTTGCTCGACCAATTTCCCCCAATCAGTGGAGGCACCATCGAGCAGAAGTGGAGCCATGGCCGCAAGAAATTCAGAGACGAAGCGTGAAAACAGTGCGGCACTGGTCCTAGGCGACACTGGTTTCGTGAGCATCAGAATTCCAGTGTTAAGACCCATTTGAATGACTGTTCAAAAGCTTTTGGCAAAGCTTTTGGCCTGCCGTGCTTGCTCAAAGCCGGTGAAACGACCAGCCGTGCAGAGTTTGTGAAGATCGCTGGAACCTGAAAGGTGAAGATCACAACTCTTTGGCACCAATTCAACAAGGCGATGAGGCTATGGTGGTGGAAAGCATGGTCATTGCATGCTGGTAGGGATGGGTAGAGCCAGCCCAAATCTGGCAGACAAGAGACAATCAAGGACATATGTATCCTTATGTATGTACCCTGGGAGTCCAAAAAGGATGTTCCTTTGCTGGCGGTGCCAAATATCAATATAGTCATTGGACAGTTCTTTGGACTTTTTGGATATATATGTTATATACTGTATATACATACATACTATGCTATGCTATGCTATACTATACTATACTATACTATACTTTTCTATACTATACTATACATACATAAGTGTATTTATATCATTATGAAAAAAATAGACACGTTGGTGTCGTATGATATTTGGCTAGTTAGTTCCAGGTCTGGCTCTGAGTCTGAGAAAAAATTTGGACAGTCTGGAGTCCGTCTTGCAACTCGCCAGGATGTGGAGCTAGGAGCGACACATGTGAGCTGGACAACTCGCCGCTCACCATGGCTGGGCCTGGTACAGGCTAACATGGGGCGCTCGATATGTGCCTCAAGATAAGCGCATGGAAATGCCAGAGTGAATTCATGCTGAGTCTAGCAGGTCTCAAGGGCAATGTCGCATACAATTCCAAGCGATTGAAACGAACATTCTCTTGGCAACAAAGCAACAACTGATGATTGATGTGGCGTGAAACTGGATTGAGAAGCGTATTCCAAGTGCAGCGGATATGCGCTGGCCCTTCCAAGTTTTGCCCATGCTGTAGCTTACAACTTCGTTGGTTTCGATCTTGTTTACTGGGGGTGCTTTGCAGGTGGTTAGTTTCCTGCAACCTGCAACGAGTGCCAATCCAGGCTTTTTGCCGTCTTTTGGTTTGTACAGATTCATGGCTCTCGGAAAGTCTAGGCATGATCCTTGCCTAGCTGATGTTCAAAAGTGTACATAAAGAGAGGTCGGGCCACGTCCTATGGCCTCAGTTTCGGCCTTGCGGCAGAGGCCATGCTTTTCCGTGTGTGCAATACCACTACGGGAAGACAGACCGTGTAGCAAATTCGAAGAATTCCCTGAAGCCAACACCCTTCCCAAAACGGATGCACTGGTTTGTTGAAGTTCCAACTGTGTAATCAATATGATTCTATATGTATGGTCAGGCAAACAATGATTGTTTTGGGATTCAGAAAGGTATAGGTCTTGGAAACAGGAACGAAGCTAGAGTGCTCGAAGGATGTTGAATTGCATGCAGGCAGCTGCTCGTCCTCACCCCACGCCTCGATTGCTTGTGCTTTTGAAGAGGATGGGCTAGAGAATGCCTTGATTTGAGCAAAGACCGCTTACAAATACCTTTAGAGCGTAAAATATATTATTGTTCATATTTTATATTATATTGCATTTATAAATATAATATATGTATATAGAAATATAAATAATTATGATATTTCTAATACTATAAATTTGTGAAATTATACGATTTAAATATTTAGAATTGGATTTAAAATAAAAATAAATATATATGAATTTGCGGAATTTTTGGAAAATATTATTAATTATTGATATAAAATTATTAGTATTAGAAACAATAAATAGAGAATTAAAGTAATAAATTAAGGAAGGATAATTGATTTGGGATGAGGATTTTTTTAGAATTATTATAGTGGAGATTGTAGTGGTTAATAAATTAATATTTATACAGAATATTGAAAGGTTTATTTTTTTTGAAATTAGTTAGTTTCTAGTTAGTATTGGCAAAATATTTCTTTTAAATATTGGAGGGAAAAAAATTCGTATGTAATCGAAGTTTATAGTTGGAATAGCATTATTTAATAATAAGTGTTATTATCGCTGTGGAAGGTATATTGAAATAATTAATATATTATATTTTTATGGTTTGGATTTGTATTAAAGGGGAATATTGGAATGCAATTTATCGAAGAGGTAGGAATATTATTTAGGCAATGTCGTTTTATATAGGGCTTGTAAAATTTTATATAAATGAGATTTTTTGCGATTTTATGAATAAATTTAGCCGCTAGCAAATGATAATTTGATTATCGTCTGGGACGGTTTTAAGCTGAAAATCGGGGAATAAAAATATGAGGATTTTTTTGATGTTGGCAAAAGCAAAAATTCCTCTTAGGTGGAACGTAGATATTTCGTTTCGTGATTTTAGGTCATATAATTCTATTTATTTTGATTCGTTCGGATTTGTTTGTTGTGGAGGTTGACGCAAATTAAATTTTCTTTGTTTTTTATTTTTAATTTGCTAATACGTTATATTACTTCTTCTATTATTTTTAAAATAATATTTGCCGAAATGGACAGGTCATTCCAGCCTTCTATTTTTGGGTGTGCTATTCTTTTGAGGTTATAATATATTGGGAAATATGGATCCTTTGCCCGCCTGAAGAAATAATAAAAAATTTCGATCGAAACCCATAACATTTAATATATCCTTTTGTCTGAGGCATAGCTTGGCCAACATCTACAATAGTGGGACATCTGAATCGGATCTCGACGATGAATTCGAGAAATTTGATCGATGTCTCGATTTGCCCCTTGCTAATTTGGGCGGACGATCCATCGGATTCTTCCATTCGGACTCTCTTAAAATTGGCCTCGCAGGCTGCTAGCAGATCTTAAAATAACATATCGTCTAGCAATATACTCTCGGCCATCTCAAATGTTCAGTGCGGATAGAACTAAAACCCGGGCTAACACATGCTCGAGTTCCGTGGTTGCATGATGCAAAAAAGTCTGCTTGGAATAAAAACCATTGTCTATATCTATCTTTGAAGGGTCCCATTAGGAGACCAAATTGGTTGAGGGCCAGACCCATCGATGAGGAATATGTGTCGTGACCCAGCTCAATGTCGAGAAAATTTTGTCCCAATGAAAGTGTACCTGAGGCAGGCCATAGAAGTGAAAGATTCATTGGGTTGCCTATACGTACCAGTGAAGTCGTGCGGTTGGTTCAAAAAAAATGGCATGCGGAATGGGTAGGGTTGAAACATGAAGCAAGT